ATCCTTTTTTTGTAAATATAATTCTAATATTGTAAATAGTACTTTATGATACAACTTATTGTTTTTATAAACATATATTGTTCCTTTTTTGTACAATTTTTATTTTAACCTTTAATTAATATTCTCTTTGATCATTTGCTAACTCTGACGCAATCTGCTCTGTTTCGCGCGAAGTTCTATTAGATTCTAAATTTTCTTGTCACGCGAGGTCGCCGCAGAGTTTTCGCCAAGATTTCATCTTGGTTGGAAAAATCTTTCGTAAACAGGCTCGTTGTCGTCGGCGTAACGTCGAGAGAACGTGGTATGTAAATAGAATCCACCTGCACACACCTGCCACAATTTTCGCATCGGCCCATCTCGCGAGATGCTTCTCGTGAAAAGTTATCTACATAGCAGCCCGTAACTTCGTTGGTTTCCATGTAATCGTTCCAAGGGGGACGTAGTCGACTAAACTTTGTTCGCTCCAAACCGAAGTTACGCCACGGCGAAAATAATGAAAATAATAGTGATGCGAAGTAAACGAGGCGAGAACAAAAATCATCGTGATGGTTCAGAATGCTATTATTATAGTTAAATAAATATAGTTAAATAAATATAAATAAAAAAAATAACATAAATACAGTTAGAAAAGTAGGATCGAATTTACACGGATATTCATTTGGGTTTGACTGATTATTTTTCCATTTATATGATAATTTATATGCACTCCCTTATAATCTTCTTCGTTTTTTTCTTTTTCTTATTTCTTTTCCTGAAATTGGAATCAACCATATAAGAGCAAAATAAAGGCGACAATTTGTTTTTTTTATTTTTATAATTTATATTTTTTTATTTTATGTTATTCTCTATTCTTACTTTTATTGTGTTCTATTTCTTTATTATTCCGACACGTATGTCTACACGATATACACTTCTACACTCTACTAATTTTTATTATATCACATAAAAGTAAATGCAACTTGGCTCTTTTTAAAATTGCTTTTTTTCTTTTATAATTCTTTAGATAAATTCTACATTGGAAATTTTTATAGAAAATTTCAGATGCATTTAGATAATTTACCGCGAAAAGAACATTTTTTGCGAAAATGCAATTTCTTTCTTCCGATGACTACAACGGAACTGTTTCAAGCTTTAATGTATTAAAACCATAGTGTTACGAGCTTGATTCCCTATTTAGTTTATCGCGAACCTTTGTCAAGCACACCGGGAATCTGGTGTGCTACGTGCTACCTCGTTGCACGTAGTTGCGATTTTGCACATAGCAACCTATCCACTCCATGTGTTCTAAAGAGGAAGAGAAGGACGTTAGATTGCGGATTGCAGTCGCAGCGGTGACCGGCGGCAGTCCCGGAAATTGCAACTGCAAGCGGACTCGGGCTCGTAAACTCGGGAAATTCGCTGACGCTTTCGTTGCGAGAGGAGAGAACACGGAACGAAGCGCATCAGGAGGTAAATGCGAGAAGACGTGGTCCTGCGTGGATCAAGTTCGTCGTAATTTCTTGCGTCGTCCTTCGTAAACCTTAAGTGAATTAGAATGCAAAAGTGGTAATATGTCTCGGAAACTCATCGCGTTTCACGCCGAAGTACGAGTCCGTTCGATTTTCAATTTTAAGCCTCGTCGTAAAAAGTTGAGGCAATTGGCTAAAAAAAAAAAAATAATCTACCTCCTCCGGGAAATGTAAAAATAAATGAGGGAAAATGTCGAATCTTCTTAAAAAGAATAATTTATGGTCGAAGAAATAAATCTATCGAATTTTGATGGTCTTTTTATTATTATAATTGATATATAATTGATATATCTTAAGTGAAATCGTTTTACTTTAAATGTGTAATATAATCACGATTATATCGTGATATCAATTTCGCAGAATTACTGGAAAAATTTATCTTGAAAGTTTGAAAGTTCTACGATTTCTACTGACTTTAAGCCTTTGTACTTTATAATTTCATAAGCGAATTTTGTGATGCAATACAGTGCGAAACTTTGAATTTTGTTCTTTTTTCTCCTTTTTTTTTCTTTTCGAGGGCGCTTCGCTCTCGGATTTTCTCAAATATTCGCATGGGACTCCGGCAAACTGCTGTCACAATTGATTTAGAAGATATATAGCCTCATTTTAGATTTTCAGAATTAAGGAAAAAACTGATGCAAAGATACAGTAAACGCTCGCGGCATGAGAAAATCGCTTTTAAAGTTCGAGGCCATGCTGCCGCATCAAATTTCCTGGACATCGAGATAGAGAAGTCGGAAAATTTTTGCGAAATGCAAGAAAAATGTCGTTGGATAGGTCGGCACCCGGTTTAATTCTCGGAAATTCTACGAGCGAGTCGTTATACAGGATGTATCATCGTCTTCCTGACTTTCCGCGATTTAATATAACTTTAATGGCATTAACTTTATCGAGTTTAATTTTGTCAGTTCCCAAGATAACTACGTTCTCAGATATTTTATTAAGATTTATTGAGCAAATATCTTTTTATCTTTATAAACCTACTTATTTCAATCAAAAATTTAAGTTTAATTTTGAAGATCAAGATTTACATAAAATTTTGTAATTATAGATTATAGACACTCAAATTCTTAAATTTTATTTCTCACTTGGCTTTCGTTATAGTAAATATAACTCAAATGTTATTTAATTTCACTAATTTTAATATGAATTTTCAGGAAAATTTGAAATAATACATCATATCTTTATATCGCAGTTATATCGAATTTTTTTCTTGCAATATACATCGAAATAAATTTATTTATACATCGTTATTTACATTTAATGATACATTGATGAAATATATTTTGTTATTTATTATTTTTATAAGTAATAAAATTAATTGGAATACATCGTTTTAAAAATAGATTTTTTTCCCACAATCGAGATCGCAGGAAAGGCAACTTAGAAGCATCCTATACCCTGCAGTCTTGAGAATAAATGTAATTTGTTTCGGAAGCAATTCGAATGTAATGCTACTATTACTGCATTCAATCGAGATTAGAAGTCGTGTTCTTCGAAACACGAATCTCTGTCGCGATTAGACGGTCGATCGGTCCTCTAATCACTGGACAGTTTCCTCGATTACGAAGACGTTGCACAGTCAGTCTTGTAATAGCTAAATGTAGATACCACGATGTGCAATCAATAGATAATAATTGGCCGGATGCATACGTGTTATGCGGGAAGCGATATCCTCTGTAACTCATTAACTTTGGAATCGTTAACGTAAATCGATCGACAATTGGCAATAATACGATTTTAGCAATAATAACGTTTAACATCAGATTATACGTCACCCGGAAGATACACATAAAAGAAAGTAAAGCTGATAACGAGTATTAATCATACGTTTGTTATCTCTGTCTTTATAGAGATTGCAACAATAATCAATTACTCTCGCGCGAAATGCTATCACCTGATTTACGTTGCTGATGATCTTTTTAATCTTTTTAATCTTTTTAACGCATTTACCCATTTTATTGATATTGATTTTATTCTTTTTTTTTTTCTGTGTGTTATAGATACGCAGATCGTTCGTATAGGACTCATCCGCGTGGCCTGATCATATATGGTCCAGCAACTATCATACCGAGTTTAGCCGCGAGTGGCAATGTATCCTCAACGACAATACTTTCGATACTGGCCAAGGGTCTCTCGAACTCGTCCAGGTCCGAATCGATTAAAAATCTCGTCGGCAGTGGAACTACACGAGAATTCCCGGCGACGAACGCAACCATCAACGCGACGATTCCACGGTGTCCTCTCATCCCACCGAATTTGGGTAAGCAGAAAAATGACCAGAGGCAACTAGATCAGACAGGAAAAGTTCATTAAAATACCGATTCACGTGTATCGTGAAATCATCATTTTGTTTTACGAAGACTGTAATGCACACAAGTTTTTCAGGAAATGAAACAACACAACAATAAAAGATAATGTATCAAGAAAAAACATTTCTATAAAGATATAACAAACTCATTTATCTATTTGATGTATAATCCATACTATAAAGCATTATGACAATAACATCATATTTTTACATGGAAGTATTATCTAAATTCAATCATCTGTCCGACAAAAGTAAAATATACTTATAAAGAACGGTTTTTCTGAAGTATCTAAAAAGTTCAAGCACAAAATAATTAGGATTAAGCATAATAATAATACTTGCAGAAATTTTTGATAGTTTAATAACCAAAATTGAATGCTCTACATATTTTTGATGGCTTTACAAAATTACTTTTAGAATCTTTACCTAGCCAAATTGTTAGATACTTGAGCAAAGCAATTCTCTCCGTGTACATTTGTAGATCTTCCTTATCGCACTTCTCTCGAATTACTTGAGTCTCTATTCAACTCTCTATTCCTTCCGATCCAGTGGGACCAGTGGTCGTCACTAAGTCACCGCCATCGTTGTCTGAAATGGAGAAATCATTTGTGGAGGTGAAGGCGGGCGGCAGAGGTCGGCCCGCGGATTGCGTCGCCAGGTATCGTGTCGCCATAATCATTCCATTTCGCGACCGACCGCAGCATCTGCAGACCCTCCTCTACAATCTGCATCCGATTCTGCTACGCCAGCAGATCGCCTATCAGATCTTCGTGATCGAGCAAGAAGGTGAGTGAGACGCTCGTGAGCGTCGCAACTGAATTGGTTTGGCCGTCTATCGTTCGTTTCTTCATTCATTTTCTACAGATGCGTTTTCGTGTGCGGGAAATTTCGATGTCGAAAGAAGTTTCTAGTATTTTTCGTGAAAGGGAAACATTCCACGAGAACATTTCCATCCCTTCGCAATCAAAATCTGATCTCGATCGAAGTGATTGATAATATTTTTGCTAATATTTTTATAGATCATTGATGATCGATTGAATCAAATAGAATATTGAAACAAACCCTCCTGATAAACCTCGATATTTTCGCAAAAAAATAAAAATTAATTGATTTCAAGTCGTTGCTTGAGCAATACTCCAGTGTATCGGAACCGGTAAATTTTTATTCACGAGCAAATATACGCGACTGACGTGTGCATTTCGGTGTTGCGATAACGTTCGCGGAGACACACGCGGTTTTGTTTCCACAGAGCGAATATAAACGTACGATCTGTGCTCCGAGCTGCCTCTTCTCCTTGTTGGTGCGTGTAAGCCGATACTTTGCTACGATTTATTGCCGTCTAGCGGACGTTTCTCTTGCTCGCTTCTGTTTTCCTGCTTGTCTCTCCGAGTCGAGACCCTCCTACCGAGAGGAAAATGCCGGCGGAGCAAGAGTCGGGACGCCTCCACGAGAGAGGATACTTCAAAGTTTCTGTCGTAGCCTCTAAGCTCTCCGACTTAATTTTTAATTAAATTTGTGTATATCGTCTTTCTCTCTCTTGCTCTTGCTCTTTCACCAGCGTCCCGAACTCGAGTAACCAACTGAGGCAACGCGTGGATTCTCGAGAAACACAATACGAGATAATTTTATCAACACGGCACTGATTATAATTTTAATGAAATTTTTAAGAAAATCAAAATTTATGACCGTGAAATTTATGATTCGTTTAATGACGATGGTACAAAGATACGATTTCGAAAAACGTTTTCTATCGATCGCTGCGGCATTATTTATGGAACATTTCCAAATTCTTTTATCTACAGTTATAATAATATATAATTATAAACATAATATATTCATGTAAATAAATATTTTTGTACATCAATAAATATATTAATAATGAATATACACTAATTAGTTCATATATGACAATATGAATTAATAAACAATAAATATTTTTAATTTTAAATAACTGTTGAAACAAAAAGTGGATCAAGTAATGAATTTAGTATAAAAATAAAATGAATTCATTTGTTCCTAAGCAATTTCTTGGCTGCAATTAAAGGATTATTTTTGACTAATGAAAAAAGAAGTATGTAAAGAAAATCATCTTACAGGAAGATAATATTTTCTTCGGCAGGGATGCAGAATCTATCATTCCATTCAGTCTACCAAGAAAATGCGATTTATCTTGGCTATTGAAGGGCTGCAAGAGCAGGCTTGCAATTTATCTTCATTAAAATTGCGAGACGCTCGACTAAGTTTGTTTACTTACCGCGTATGCGAAACGTCAAAATATGACTGTGATTAATTTTCTTGTTATTCCACGCAGCGCTTCCGGCGCGTGTGTGATACACAATGAAATTAAATGCAAAGGAAGTTTCGTAACAATGTGAACAAATTTGTTACTAGATTATATCCGATTTGTCATTGGAGTTGATCCTACTATATTGGGACTTTCGCGAATTTGTGTCATATCAACAGAAATATAAAAAGTAAATAGTTTTTTTTTTATAAAAAGCCGCAAATAATTAACGCTAATTAAATATAAGTAATATTACATCTCTGTGTTAGTATCGAAATTGAAAAAGAAATATTTTAAATTCTTTTTTGCATTTAGTGAATTGATCATTGCTTTTAAAATTCATATGTCGATTCCGCGTTTAATATCTTTGTTTGCCATTTTTAAATAACGATTTTAAATTAGCTTAACGGAGCAATATTACCTCCAATGCACTCCATTTTATCCTACATTCGGAACGTTTCTTGGAAATGTCGGTGCAATTTAATATGGTTTCCGCTAGAAAGTTTCGAGTATGGAATCCCTGATGGAATCCTAAATCCGATTTCATTCGCGTTTCTCCGCTCGGTATGCAAATGAATATATAAAAAAGATGGCTGTTTCGCAATTTTTCATCGTAGTCGCACGTAGTGAACGTTTCCGTAGTGAACAATACTAAATAAAAATACACGTATCGATATTCATGAATGAAGATGTTACGGCAAATAAACGTTATTTCTATTAATTAATTCATATTAAAAAAGAAGAATCAACGTTAAATATCCGAAAAATAATGAAAACATAACGAAATAATAATTTATTTTCTTATACAATCCCATTTTCTTTTATATTAAGATTAATAAAGTAAATAAAGTAAATAAATAAGTGGAGAAACATTTTTAATTACCGAAATTTTTAAATAGTTCTTAAATATCTTTTGCTAATTTCCGAGCCGAAAAATAATTTTTTAGAAAGACTGTCAAAGATCGTAGAAAGTATCTTTTACTGAAGAAATGTTTTAAATCGAACACCATTATAATTTGCGTTAATTTGTGACGAGTCATCGGCAAAGGAATCTTTTCGCGATAATTTAATAGGGATTATACAGAATAATGCCATTACGATACCTGTATCAATTTTTCCACATAGAAAGAAGGATTCTTCGTTGTGATATTATTTCAATCGGATTGCTATTATGTCATAATGACGTTAATTTACGACAGGTCACTGGGCAATGAATTTTCGCGATAATTCAACGAAGACGATATTTCACCGGCGCCGGTACAATTAATTACGGCGAAACAGCAACGATTTATTCTCGCCGTTGCGCTGCGCGCGATTCCTTAGAAAATGCGCCAAACTGTTACTCACTGTCAGGGCTGCTCTCGAAGACCTCGCGTAAGTCAGGCTTAAGCGCCTGTCTAACCCTGCAAACCTAAGGGACTAACTACCCTTTTCCCCGTGATTCCCGCAATGCGGAATACCAAGGGCACCACGAGTTACATATTGCAATAGCACGCTGCAGGCACGCAGAACTCCCCCCCCCCCCGTGTAAAATTATGGCAGTGTGGTAAAATTAAGAAATTCATGCGATTATATTGCTATTATATTACTATTATATTATTACGTATGTATTTTTTGTCGTGATTAATCAAACGATTTGTTACGAGAGAGTGTTCTAATCCATTTGTTAGGAATTTGAGAAAAACTTCTAGTCTAAATGAATTGAATTGAAATTTTGGATACAGATACGGAAGAGAGATATTGCGCGAAAATACAAAAATTTTGTTAATAATGAAGAAACAGACTGGATATATAAAAATGGTAATAATAAAAATAGTAGAAACTGGCGGTGCAAGGCGTTATTGCTCATTCTCTTTTCTTCCCGGAATGAATATCACTTGCGCTATGTAGATGCAGAAGTAGTAGTATTTTAAATCAAATTATCTTGAATCTACTGAGGATGTTACGTGGATATTTATGAAGTCATTATATTGAAATAACACAACACACAAGTACGATAATTTCAGTGTAACTCTTTTAAAATTATGCCGAGTGTAATTTTGTTTGTAGCAGATATTACTAATATATATAATTTCACGTAAAAATTACACGTTGTTGGCTTATGATTATACTGTTTACGTTTCTAGCTGATGCCTCGAAAATGCGGTTATAAATTATATAATTGCACTAAAAAATTAACTGAACGATAGGTCATGCTTATCGCAAATGCAACCCGCATGTCCGCCATGCGGCATGGATACCGTTACGATTCACGTATGTGCAAAGTCACGATCATTTATCGTCAAGTCGAGCTTAGAGACGCTTAATCCAACCAGTCATTCGTCAAGAAGACGATATACCTGCGCGTAAAAGGATTAACCAACAAATCGATCGAGCGAAATAAATTTTACATGCAGACATACAAATATGCGAAAATGATACATTAATGCCCGATTCCACCAACATAGATTTTTTTACTTTAATCTCGGTTTACTTGCTCTTCATCTTTTTCTAATTTTTAGAACTAGAAAAAGATAAAGAGCAAGTTGAATCGAGATTAAAGTTAATCTACGTTGATGGAATTGGACATAAATAAATTGATATGTAGGCAAATAGAGATTTGTTGATTCAGCAAATATTTAGTCAAGTGGAACTTTCATTAATCATATAAATAACAAAAAGATTAATATTTATTCATATTTATTGAAATAGTTTTATTAGAGTTGCAAATTATTTGACTCTAAATTACTTTTTTTTTTTATTTTGTTTAATCTCACATCATTTTACCAGCGACAATTCTGTTTCTGTTGTGATAATCAAATGCGTTCCAGAGAGAACTCTGTTGACTTTAATAACAAATTATATGTTCCCGCAAACTAATTTTCTCAGCAAAATTTTTCTATGTTGCTAGCAAAACAATCATATTGTAACATCAAACAGTTAATTTCCACAGCAAGATTTGTTTCCTCTCATCGAATACAATAGCAGCAACGATTTAGCTGCAACAACTAAATTATTTTTTCGTGTTTATTATATATTAATCTACAAAATAATATAAAATTAGAG